GGGTGTGGGTGTGGGTGTGGGTGTGGGTGTGGGTGTGGGTGTGGGTGGTGGGTGTGGGTGTGGGTGTGGGTGTGTGTGTGCGTGTGTGTGTGTGTGTGCGTGTGCGTGTGCGTGTGCGTGTGCGTGTGCGTGTGCGTGTGCGTGTGTGTGTGTGTGTGTGTGTGTGTGTGGTGTGTGTGTGTGTGTGTGTGTGTGTGTGTGTGTGTGTGTGTGTGTGTGTGTGTGTGTGTGTGTGTGTGTGTGTGTGTGTGTGTGTGTGTGTGTGTGTGTGTGTGTGTGTGTGTGTGTGTGTGTGTGTGTGTGTGTGTGTGTGTGTGTGTGTGTGTGTGTGTGTGTGTGTGTGTGTGTGTGTGTGTGTGTGTGTGTGTGTGTGTGTGTGTGTGTGTGTGTGTGTGTGTGTGTGTGTGTGTGTGTGTGTGTGTGTGTGTGTGTGTGTGTGTGTGTGTGTTTGTGCGCGTGTGTTTGTGCGTGTGATTGTGCGTGTGTTTGTGTGTGTGTGCGTGTGTTTGTGTGCGTGTGTTTTGTAGCTGTGTGTGTGTGTGTTGTGTGTGTGTGCGGTGTTTGCGCGCATGTGTTCGTGTGTGTGTGTGTGTATGTGTATGTGTCTGCGTATGTGTGTGTATATATGTGTATTTGTGTGTATGTGTGCATGTGTGTGGGTGTGTATGTATGTGTGTATGTGTGTATGTGAGTATGTTTGTGTGTATGTTCTTACGTGTGTATGTGTGTATGTGTGTGTATCTGTGTGTGTATGTGTGGGTATGTGCGTGTGTGGGTGTGTGTGTGTGTGGGTGTATTTCTGTGTGGGCGTGTGTCCGTGTGTCTGTGTGTCTGGCTGCCTGTGTGTCTGTGTGTTTGTGTGTCTGTGTGTGTGTGTATGTTTGTGTGTAATTGTGTGCGAGAGTGTTTGTGTGCGTGTGGGCGTGTGTTTGGGCCTGAGTGTTTGTGTGCGTGTGGGCGTGTGTTTGTGCGTGTGTTTTTTGGGGTTCCTGAGGTTTTTGCACTTCCCGGTGTCCCCTCAGTGTTTTCCGAGTATTCCTTTCGTGTTCTCTCAGTATGCTCTCAGTATTCCATGATATAGTATTCCCTTGCTATTCCCTGAGAGCTCCTCAATATTCCTTGTATTCTCTTGCCCCTAGGGTTCTCTCAGCACTCCCCAGTGTTCCTTTAATATTCCCCAAGTATCTCCCTCAGTATTCCCCTAGTATGTTCCTAATATTCACAACACGTTCCTAGTATTCCCTTAATATGTCCCTAGTGTTCCCCTGAGTATTCCCCTGAGTATTCCCCAGTTCCTTTAGCATGCTCTTACCCCTAGTAGTTGTATTCTCCTTGTATTCCCCTAATATTGCCCTAGTATTCGTTGGTATGCTCTTGGTATACCCCCAGTATTCTCCTACCAGCATTAGAATTTCTTTGTATGTTCTTGGTTTATCAATAGTATTTTCCCAGTATTCCCCTAGTCTTATCCTAGTGTGTCCTCTTGTGTTCCCCTGATATTCCCTATTATCCCCTCGATGTTTTCCTAGTTCTTTTGCTACTCAGAAACTGGAGCGCAAATGCAGACTAGTGGAATACTTGGAGAGTACTAGGGGTACACCAAGAAAATACTAGGTAACACTAAACAATATTAGGGGAATACTAGCAGAACACAACTCTATGGGGAAGAGAATGCTAAAGGAATAGAGGATTATTAGGGGAAGACTAGGGAAATACAACTCTAGGGGTAAGAGAATGCTAAAGGAATAGGGGACTATTCGAGGAATACTAAGGGGAATGCTAGGGGAATATTAAGGGAATACTATGAAAATGCTAGGGGAATACTGAAGACGAAGAGTTAAGGGAATCTAGGGAACACTGAGGAAATACTGGAGGGTACACCAACAGAATACTAGATGGGAATACAGGGGACTGCTAGGGAATTACTAAGAAGCTGCTAGGGGGAATATTGAGGGAATGTTAGGGGAACACTTGAACACTGAGAGACTATTGGGGGTATACCGTAGTATACCAAGAAAATGCAAAGGATTTTGGGGATTACTAGGAGAATACAGAGAAGATGCTTAGGCAATTGTTCCCTCAATGTTCCCTAAGAATTTCCTTGGTAGCTCCCTAGCATGCTCCTAGTGATCTGTATTCTCCCTGTAGTCCCCTACCATCCCTCAGTATTCTCAGACAACTCCTCTAGTATTCTCTTCGCATACCCTCTAGTATCTCCTCAGTGTTCCCCTAGTAACTATTCCCCAGTATTCCTTCACTACTCCCCTACTGTTTTCTCAGTATTCGCGCTTTGTGCTTCCCTAGTACTCCCTTAATATACCCCGAGCATTCCCCTTGTTATTCCCATATTATCCTCCTGGTAGGGGCATACTAAGAAAATACCAAAGGCATGAGGGGCATAATCACTAGGAGATTACTAATTAGGCGAATACGGAGGGAATTCTAAGGGATTTTTAGAGGATACTAAGGGCATACCAAGGGAATCCTTGCAGAATACTGATTGCCAGAAAGTGGGGGATAGGAAAGATGCTTGCAGTGGGTGGCCTTCTCCAAAATACTCCGAAGACCGCATGTGCGAGTAAAGGTGCATCCAAAATAACAAAAAAAGCTGATTTCAACAACACCGGCCCCATGGCAGGCCGCTCCCCTGCAAAAACAGTCAATGACGCATGTGGAGCAAAACGCACACGAAGTACAAGAAAAAATGTTGGGTTGCTGTTGTCAAACTGGGCCCTAGAATATGTGCTTTCTTTCGTTGCCGTGTGCGTGGGCGTTTTGAGATGAAAGTACTCAACGCTACAAATTCGCCCACAAATGCACCGAACTCAGTTGAAAGGCAAGCTAAAAGGAAAATCGCAATTTTGGGGGCTCCGCCTATTTTGACACATGCCCATTGCCACCAAACGTTTGTTCACTCAAGATCTCGTCGCCTCGGCCGCCGCCTTTGCCACCCTTCCCGTCACGGCGATCTGCGGCGGACAGTGTCTTTGAGAGTTCCCAAACCAAGTCAGGCAGAGCTTCGAGCACAGAAACACACAGTCTCAGTGACCAAAGCCAAATGGAAATCCCTGTCAACGCGGCATATGAACGCATGCAAGGTTGCTGGCAAGCATGTGTTATTCCAGACATACTTTTGGCCGAACTGCAGGTGTCGAGCCAAATAGCCCTTGTCTTTCACTAGAAAAGGTCCACTTCCGAGAGCAAAGAGGAGAACCCCGTTCAGGGTCCAACACCAGTCCTGCCCCCCCCCCCAGCAAGAAGCAAGGACGAGCCGTCCACCCCCAACATTTTGGTCGCATTGCACCCAGCCACCGCCCCTTTGGAAGCCTCGGTAGCCGCCATCGTCGCGCCGATCCTGCCTGAGGCCGTCGGAGGAGAAAAAAAGAAACATGTCCGAAACCCATCCCAAGACACTTATCCATGCAAAGCCGATGCCAAGAGGCGTGGGGCCAAGCCCCAATTTGTCAAAGCAACTGACCTGGCAGTAGCCTGTCCGTGTCCCTGAAGGCCCGTGCCGAGGCCGATCATGATGTCCTCCTCCTCGGATCTCTCACCCCCCGAATGTGGCAACTCCCCCACCCAAACCTCCTTTTGAATACCACATAACATTTGTCTTGAGGGTATCTGAGCCGGGTACCATTTGTCGGGGTGCCTTAAGGGAAAACGAAAAAGCAACCCGTTTAGCCTCACCCCGTCCTCCTCCTGCACGCCTGGGCTCTCGCCGGTCGCCAGGCCGGTCACCGGGCCGACCGCCTCTGATTGGCTTCATGTCGGTGTGGAAATGTGTGCGCGTGTGTGTGTGTGTGTGCGCATCGAAATAGAGGCACCCCAAACTGGTGGGTCGTTTTCCTTCCATTTCACCAACCGAAAAAGGGTGCCTTCAAACAAAACACGCACCCTTGTTGACTTCCTCTGGTCCAGGCAACAATCAGCCCCTTGGCTTGCTGGCGCCTCCGCCTCCACCTCCGCGGTCGCGTCGGTCATCATGCCGACCTCACCGCATCTGCTAACAGACCAATGGATGTTGAACCTACACAAAAGTACACACTGGCGGTTGACAGACATGCAGTACATGTGCCATGCCGCCATGCTTGCACTCTCTCCAGATCATGTTTGCCACCCTAAACGTGCTGCAACCTTCTTTGAATGCGCCACCTTGTCGCGGCTGCGCCGGAAATCTCCCCACCGGCTAGGCATCACCCTGTTCACCCTGCAGTCAGTACACTGGGGAGACCACGATCATCCCTTCGATCGTCGCGACGGCCGTCACGACCTTACGAAAATTATGCTCGTCACAACATTGCACGAGGCGAAACTTCAAAAGCAACAGGTCATCCGCTTGTCCGTCTTTCAGAATCATGCAACCCAAGACCCAAGGAGACTGCCAGAACCAAATCGCTTCCCCCGCCTCCCCCGACAAAAAAAGAAATAAAAAAAAACGCCCGAGGGCCCGGCCATCCCGATCCCGGCCATCCCGGCCATCCCGGCCATCCCGGCCGTCCCGGCCGTCCCGGTCGCGGGCGTCCCGGGCATCCCGGGGGTCGCGGGCATCCCGGCGCTCGCGACCTGATCCGCTGGCAAGATCCATGGCTTCGAACTCAGAGAGCAAAATCAATGAGGGACTTCGGGTTGGCAAGATCAATCTTCCTACCATGTGGGTGTGGCTCAAAATTAAACAGGAGGGTTTAGTCCATGTTTCCACTTACCAGGGTTCCATTTTGGTACCGGTTTTTTGAGCCACTGCCATGTGTTCCAATTCTGATTTATTGGCGATTGAGGGTGTGATTCTTATTCCAGACCCCGCCTTGTTCGCCGCAAAAGCATCGGTTCTGACCAAGCTCAAATCTTGTTTTGCATCAAAAGCCGAGTTTCCTCATGCCGCACAGGACAGCGGTGGGCCTGGGATATCGATCTATGCCGCCCTTCCTCTTCACCCTGGTCGAATAATGAGAACCATTGTTTGAGACGGGGAAATCAAGGGAAGCCAATGGGAACCTCAAGGGAAACCAATAGGAACTTAAGGAGAAACAAATGGGAAACCCAGAAAAACCCTGGGAAATCCCCCTGCACCAAAGTCTCTGACCTTACCAATTGTGTATGTGATGCCCGCCAGGTCTCCCGCCATGGTCGCGGTCATCTCGGTAGCGGCCGTCTCTATCGTCTCTGAATCTCTTTTCCTGGGCATCGCCAGATGTTTGACTTCCGGAGTCTGGAACCAACTGGCGCTTTAGGTCTCCAAAGTCCAGGAAGAGTCCCACTTTCAACAAACTCATGGTCTGCAGCTCCTATGACCATCTCACAGTCCATCCGCTTACTATGCTAGAGATTGATTGAAAGCAAATTCGAGAAAAAAACTCGCATTTGGGCCAGTGGAACTCAAAAGCAGCATGGACAAATGCATCAAGCATTGGTCAAGTCGCCTTGTCCAAGCTTGCATCGCGGCTGCGCTCTCTGCCTGGTATCATGGCGCTTCAGACTCGCGCGCTGCTTCGAGGTATCAAGGATCCAGGCTGTGTTACGTGGCATTGGGCGTGTGGCTCGGAAAGCAGAGCTGATCCGGCTTGCAGTCAAGCAAGGTATGAAAGAAACTTGGCTCACATGCAGCTTGATTGCTCAAACACGAAATGTCCTTGCCCTGGCCTTCTGCTTGCTGAAAAAAGAATCAAGTGACAATTGCTCTTGCCTGTACAAAGACAGCTGCTCTGCTAAGGCCGGTTTGTGTCGTTCGACTCGGCGCTCCTGCTGCGACAGAACAGAAGACAAAGCCCTTGCCTTTCGTGTGAAAGCCTTTGTCTTGCCGGCACTCGGCCAGGGGTCACTGGCACCAGCCTCTATCACCGCGATCTTTTTCCTCCTTCTCCTGCAGGGAGATTGTCAAAAAATGCGTCCAGCTTGCAACCCGGTATCAACTTGTCTCGTTTGCGCAAGAAATCGTATGCTAGCAGCATCTCTGTTAAAGAATATATCTCTCATGGCCACCATGCTCAATCTCTTAATTCGTGTGTAGAACCGATTCATGTTTGTCAGAGTTACATGTCTCTGAGGGAGCGGATTCTCAGAATTCGCCGACCCCCCAACCCCCAATTGCTGATTGTCCAGCCGGTTCACCTTTAAACCAACCAACCAACCAATCAATCAACCAAATACACAAACAAACAAACAAACAAGCAAGCAAACAAACAAACAAACAAACAAACAAACAGACAAGCAAGCAAACAAACAAGCAAACAAACAAACAAACAAGCAAGCAAACAAACAAACAAAAAAGGCAAGCAAACAAACAAGCAAGCAAGCAAGCAAGCAAACAACCAAACAAACAAACAAATAAGAAAACAAACAAACAAACAAACAATCAAACAAACAAACAGGCAAACAAACAAACAAACAAACAAACAAGCAAACATACAGACAAACAAACTAACAAACAAGCAAACAAACAAACAAACAAGCAAAGAGACAGACAAACAAACAAACAAACAAACAAACAAACAAACAAACAAACAAACAAGCAGCAAACAAACAAACAAACAAACAAACAAACAAACAAGCAAACAAACAAGCAAACAAATAGACGAACAAAGAAACAAACAAACAAACAAAAAAGCAAACAAACAAACAAACAAACAGGCAAACAAGCAAACAAACAAACAAACAAACAATCAAGCAAACAGACAAGCAAGCAAACTAGCAAACAAACAAGCAAGCAAACAAACAAACAAAAAAGCAAACAGACAGACAAACAAACAAGCAAACAAACAAGCAGCAAACAAACAAACAAAAAACAAGCAAACAAACAAACAAGCAGACAAGCAAGCAAACAAACAAGCAAACAAACAAACAAACAAGCAAGCAAACAAACAAACAAAAAAGGCAAGCAAACAAACAAGCAAGCAAGCAAGCAAGCAAACAACCAAACAAACAAACAAATAAGAAAACAAACAAACAAACAAACAAGCAAACATACAGACAAACAAACAAACAAGCAAACAAACAAACAAGCAAAGAGACAGACAAACAAACAAGCAAGCAATCAAGCAATCAAACAAGCAAACAAACAAACAATCAAGCAAACAGACAAGCAAACAAACAAACAATCAAGCAAACAGACAAGCAAGTAAACTAGCAAACAAACAAGCAAGCAAACAAACAAACAAAAAAGCAAACAGACAGACAAACAAACAAGCAAACAAATAGACGAACAGACAAACAAACAAACAAGCAAACAAACAAACAAGCAAACAAACAAACAAGCAAGCAAGCAAACAAACAGACAAACAGAGAGACAGACAAACAAACAAATAAACAGAGAGACAGACAAACAAACAAATAAACAGAGAGACAGACAAACAAACAAATCAACAAATAAACAGAGAGACAGACAAACAAACAAACAAACAAACAAACAAACAAACAAACAAATAAACAGGGAGACAGAAAAACAAACAAATAAACAGGGAGACAGAAAAACAAACAAATAAACAGAGAGACAGAAACAAACAAATAAAGAGAGGAACAAACAAATAGACAGACAAGCAGAGAGACAGACAAACAACAAACAAATAAACAGACAGAAAGAAAGAAAGAACGAAAAGCAAGCACTCTCGCAGCCTCCTCCGAGTCTTTCTCCTCCTTGCCTCAGTGCTGAGGTGCTGACCCACTTGGTTCAGAATCAAAACATGGCGATGTTGACCCCCATATCAACCCCGGTTTATCAACAAGGGGTGTCCATTTCTGGGTTATTTAGGGGATTCATCGTTTTTGGAGGGGAAGCCCCTATTAATAAACTGGGGTTGATTGATGTGGGGTCAACATTATTTTGCAAGAGATGAATCCAAACCCATGGTCAAGAATCAAAAGAACGGGTTCTGCCACGACGATTTATGGCTGCGAAGATCCCCCAGCCCGGAGTTTGTTTGGGGCTCGCATGGACGTCATTTACAACAAAATCTGCAAGCAAGAAAATCCAAAGAAAATCGCATTAATGGGGTGGTGTATGATGCAAACTATCAAACATTCGCATTGTTGTACTAGCAAAAACATGCCTCAAGGGTCGATCTTTCACAGGCCAGTTGCTTCAACGTACGGGTTCTTCGTAACAAGATCTCCATCATCCTTAATGGATTTTAGGCATCTTTGAACGTGCATCGGATGATGCAGTGTTGTCTTCACATGACAATTGAGGCAAAGGCAAGCAGTCGTCAACTTAACTGTCAGGTGCCGTGGCACCGCTCTCGTTCTAAAACACCTGACGCGTCTTCCGCCTTCCTCTTCGCCGAAGCTCGGACAATTATGATGACACAACATTCTGTTTGGGCGGAGCTAATACACAACAAAAGGTTTGGCACTCAAAGACACACTGCTTGGTTCCATCTCAATCTGTCTGATGAGGGGCCCATGCTTGGAAGGCGATAAGAGCCTTGATCAGATATTGCTTATGGGCTAGTCATTGTCCCTTCTGTGAGCATCCTTAGAATCGTGTTTGACGTCCTTCGGGCTCAGAACCAACTTGTTCGCCACAAGTAACTTCGTTCATCGGCAATCCCTCACTCTAACAAGCAGTAACCTATGTAGGATGCTGCGAATCTAATTGCCCGCCAAGCATGGGACCGACTAGGAGCAACCCGGAAAATGGCCGGTTCTTTTCCTCGAAAAGGCTAACCTCAAGAAAACGACACACCCGAACATCACGGGAGTTGGTGCTTAAGCCCATGTTTCGCAGCCCCTGCTCATGCTGGTAGAAAGTGTGGTCGAGGCTCATTGGGTTGAGAACGAAACAGGCCAAAAGCGGGAAGGATCAATTGAGAGCCAGCGCGGGCTTCTCAGTAACCACCCGAGCAAGCTTGCATCCCACCAAGCAAACCATGTTGGCTGATGGGGATGCAGAATGGAACTGCCTCCATACCAAAAAAAAACATGAAATCCATTTCGCACCACCTAAGAAACCCTGGAATGATTCGATTCCGCAACGTAAATACCAACAACCAATGGTTTCAACCATGGTTTCAAGGTGGTGCGACATGGATTCCGTCCATCCACAAGGATCACAGGAGACAAACCTGACACATGAATCCCAGTCTGCTCGACCTTCCGGATCTGCCTCCCCGAGCCCACATTCTCGCTTCACCTCGACTACCGAGGCGCTGAGTTCTTGCTCAAGGGCTCCAAGCCTGGGGAAGCCGTCATGCGACTGCTTGCGTGTCTCTGACTTGAAAACGCATGCGGCAAATGTGTCATGTGAGTGGTGGCGTCTCTTCCCGAAACCTTTCACAAGCTTCCGAAGCGGTACCTTTCTAAGTCTCAGTGCTTCCGCGGGCCTTCCGCGGGCAACTTGTTTCTGGAAATTGAGGAAGGCAGCTTCCGCGAGGGAACTCACGTGTCTGGAAATTGTCTGGAAAGAGCAAATCAACCACGGCCCTTTCGCGAGCTTCCGCGGGAAAAAATATTCCGCGAACCTTCCGCAGCTGCAGTGTGGCGCAACCTTTCTTGCTCATATGTCCACCTCCATTTCTGCTTGTGCGGGGAACAAAAACCGCCACTCGACATGGGAGCACGCCTGCCTGGTCATGTTCAAACACCAGCATGCATCTCACACGTCAAACCGAGCTATGCCGATGAACCGCTCGACCGAGTGGGAAATCCTGAGATTGGGATCAGCCACCATGGCTCCAATCCGGGATGCGCTTTCCCATGCGAGCCATCGTCAAGATATGCAAATCGCCCCTTGACATGGAAGCAGTTTAAGTCCCTGGTTGCTTTGTGTTTAGTTGTCTGTGTGCCCCACATCGCTCCCAGGGTCACCACCGATTGGAACTCTTTTGGGCGAGGCTCAATATGAGGGTGTCTCTCAAGACAGGGGTCTATCTCCTAAACAAAATGGTTCCCTTCAACTAACAAAAAGGGGATTCACCATTTGGGGGTGTGCTTTTGAGGCTACCCCTTTGGCCTCCAAAAAAACGGAAAACCGTTGCCACCTAGGCATTAAAGGAATTCGACCTAGGCAACCTTCAAGGAAAACAAAAAGGAGGGGCCCAACCAAAAGACGAGCCCACGAGAGATGGCTCTTGGGCCCCGGCAGCTGCTTGAAGAGCTGGCCAGGGGAGGGCCTCAAAGTCGAAAATGCGAGCAAAGAGTGTACATACATACATATATATATATATATACATATGTTGTATGTACACATATCATATATACATATATACATATACTATATATACATATATTACACATATATATATATATACATGTATTTATAGACCTATAGTGACTTTGCTGGAAATTCGTCTGCAATGTGTCTTTGACTTCGGTTGGATTTTGGGTACCCCCCCAGGTGGGTCCAATGTATATATATATATATGTTTGCCATGTCTCGAGCTTTGGACTTCTAGGAAAAAGAGTCGAAGATTCTGACAGTTGGCAACTGGCTGATAAAGAGAAATTGCATCTGGTGATGCACAGTGTCCCTTGCATGTTACACGAATGCTCCGTGTTCTCTGTGTGTGTGTGTGTGGGGGCATTGCAGTCTGCACTTGCGTATGGTTTCGTGTGCCCTGTGCTGCTGTGTGAGCTGGCTATGCGCGCCTGGCGTGTAAGCTTGCTTTGCGTGTGATTGTACTGTGCAAGCATGTGATGTCCACAAAGCATATCCAGTGAGCTTCCATCATTGCTGAATGAACGGGAGGTGAAGCACTAATGAGGCTATGTTCCTTTGCCTTGTCAAGCGCGTAATGAGCAATAGCACACAACATACACACACCATCCGCAGGCGCCACTCCCCCAACCGAAAGCGCAATGCCAAGAACACGCACAAGAGCGTGCAAACGACACGTCAATGCCACAGTCACAATGTGCAACACAGAACAGGCGCAATCCATGCAAAACACACATGCAAAGAACAACATTGTGAGGAATACGCATATACACACACATACATCCATGTACGCACGCACGCACGCACGCAAGCACGCACGCACGCACGCACGCACACACGACACGCACACACGCACACACGCACACACGCACGCACACACGCACACACGCACGCACACACGCACACGAACACGCACACGCCCACGCCCACGCCCACGCCCACGCGCACGCGCACACGCAAGCGCACGCGCACACGCACGCACACGCACACGCACACGCACACGCACACCCACACACACACACACACACACACACACACACACACACACACACGCACGCACGCACGCACGCACGCACGCACGCACGCGCACGCACGCACGCACACGCACGCACGCGCACGCACGCACGCACGCACGCACCCACACACACACACACACCACACACACACACACACACACTTTACACGTCCTCCACACGATTCGCAAAACCAAAGGCATTCGCCCACAAGAAAGCAAAGCAAGAACACAACTCAACCAAAGAACAACCAAAACAACAAGACAAACCTTAAAACAGCACAAATATATCCAAAAGGCAATGCCATACATGAGCAAAGAAAGACCATTCAAAACCCAGAAACAAGCGTGAACACGGGGGTCCCGGCTTCTTAGCCAGCTCTGCCAGCTGCTTGTTCTCAGGAAAGTGCCTGAGAGGTCAAAAAGGGGCCGCGTTTGACTCAGAAACTCTGCTTAACCTTGGTGCTCAGTAGGGAATGTGGGAATGAACCCGGGGATTCCCTGAAAAAAAAAACAAGGGACGGTGTATAAGGGTCATTCCCTCATTCCACCAGCAAGCAACCCGCCAGAAAAGTGAGACGACCTGAACATGTAGGAATCTCCTGAACTCGAAAGAACGCGCTCCATGTTAAATGGCAGGGGGGAACGTCTTTTTTTAGGATCTGGCCACTGCGGAATGTCCAAGGTTTCCCGTCTCTCACATTGAGCTATCAAGCTGGGTGCACCTGCATTCCAGATGCAGAACACCAAACAACCACAACAAATGGTCAGGAGCAAGCCTTGCTGTGTTCTTTTCCCTTGGGCCACGCCAGCCCACCAAAAGGGAGAAGAGCTGCGTTGATGAGACAACGTGCGAATGATTTGCACATGAGCCCTGGGTTTTGTCTTCTTTCCCCTCGGTAGCACCCCTTTTGCAGATCCCTTGCAACCATAATCTCCCAACAGTGACTGAGAAAGCGTTGGGAAGCGAAATCGTGCCCTCTTTTCCTAGCTGCATAATATTTTGTTTGCCTTTCTTCGTTGGCATGGTCGATTCTTCGCTTCGTTCGTCGTGGACTCCCTGTGATCCCGCACTTTGCCCCTCCCCAGTCCGAAACCGGACAAGCGGCCGCTGCACGAAGAACGACAACAGCTCTCCTGCGTCCTGCGCTGGCAAGCCCTTCCCCAACCCCGGCAGGCCTTCTGAGGCTTCTAAAAAGGTGCTTTGCTTGGTTCCAGTCTGTGGTAAGATACATGGGTGGCCGTTTTTGAGGCCAGCCTTGTGGATTGTTTCAAAGGGAAGCTGAAAGGAAAACCAAAGCCCTTCCGAAAGGTTCTTACTATCAAACACCCAGTTGAACTTCATCATTCCCGCTAGGAGCCAACAAACAAAAACCGCTGAGCTCACCGGGCGACCTTCGTCTCAGTAGCCAGAAAGGTAATTGGTCATGCGTGGAAGACACAAGGACCCAGCCTTTCGGCACGCACACCACACACGTGGGACCTACAAATGCAGAACGGCTGACTCATAGCCACGGTCCAAATGACTTGCTTCCCCTAGAGGACATGAGAAGTTGAGTGAGTCCCCTGGTAGTGCACCAAAAATTCCCCGCGTGCTTCTCAAATTCACCATGGACCCTTCTGCAGACACCCGAGATGACCAAGCGAACCCATGTTGGGCACTCCTCAAGGATGTGTTCCTTCAGGACCCTTGTGGACAGGAAGGTGTGCGCACACATGTATGTGTATCGATATATGCGTATATGTAGGGAGAGAGAGTTGTCAAATATCATGTTGCACTACTTGTCACTTGTGCATGCATGATGTACACTACCCGACTGCAGGCCTTGAGTCTACTAGGAAAAGAGTGCATGCTGGCTGACTACATTTGTGTTTGTGATAACTGAACAACACTTGCACTAGAACTAAAGTATCAACGTATTTTAACGTGGTAGCGGAGCTGAGATCCTAAACATAGGGGAGCTCCAGTAACAGCAGTAAGTACTACAACTGCACAGGCAACCAACATGCCCAACTACTACGACATGTCAGGAGAACCAGCAGCAGCATCAGCACAACCAACTACAGGAGCAGACAACGGGCCCACAGCAGAAGAGACAATAGGAGCCACAACTACGGGAACAACACAGGAGCAGGAAGACGTCCAAAGGCTACACAAATACAAACTGCCACCACCGTTCTTCACTGGTGACTACTCACAGTATGAAGAGTGGCTGTTCAAACTACAAGCATATCTCGGACTTATCGACCGAGACTTCGACATGGTGCTACAACTAGCACAAGCAGCTACAAGACAAATTGAAGATGCAGACATCAGAGCCCACATACGCGACCCTACACAGGCAGCAAAAGCAGTAGACCTCTCACGAGATCTACACTACATCCTCATCAACATCTGCCAAGGAGCAGCAGCTACAGTGGTTAGACAAAACCGCTACAACGCCAATGGATGTGAAACACTACGGCTTTTGCACAACAGGTTCAGCCTACCAGTAGGAACACGCAGTGTTGGCTACCTCACCAAACTACTGGAACCTACATTCAATGAAGCACAATTTGAAGAACAATTCCTACAGTGGGAATACGACATCAACCGCTACGAGAAAGACAACGGCACAGCACTACCAGATGGAGTAAAGATTGCAATACTACTCAACAAGACCAAAGGAGCACTCCAACAGCATCTCCAACTACGTGCTGGACAGATCACGAACTACAACGAGATCAGAGTTGTCATCCTGGACTACTACAAAACCATCTCTGCATTCTCAAGAGCGAGCTCAGCAGTTGGCACAAACTACAATGGTGGGACAGCACCGATGGACGTGGACAACATTTGGAGAAAAGGAAGAAACTACAAAGGCAAAGGCAAATATGGAGGCAAAGGACACTACAAAGGAAACAAAGGAAAAGGTAAGTACAGAAGCAAAGGCCACTACAAAGGATTCGACAAAGGCAGCAAAGGAAACTACAACAAAGGAGGATACAACAAGAACAAAGGAAAAGGCTACTCAGGATCCAAAGGACATGGATCAAGCAAAGGCTACAAAGGCCAAGGAAACTACAGCAAATCAAAAGGAAAAGGAAACAACAATTACACAACATGCCATCGATGTGGCAAACCAGGCCACTGGGCACAAGACTGCAGAGTGCCAGTATGGCACATAGGAGAAGGAGAAGAACTACATCCACTAGAACAAGAACAAGCAGATCACGACAACAATGAAGAACTACCTCAGGATGTGAACGACACTTGGGACTGGTACTACGAAGGAGAAGAAGGACAACACGAGGTGAACTACATGGAGGAGAACTGGAACGACTACGACTATGACAACAGCTGGGATTGGAATGACAACAGCTATGAGGACACTGCAAACTACATTGGAGGCATCAACGAGTCACACCTCACAATTGGACACATCAGACAAGCAAACTCACGACTACACAAGCACAAATCACTACTTGGCAAGAGAACAACACACACAACATCATGGAACGACCACAGCAAGAGCTTTCAACAATTCCTACAAGAAGACAACACACAGCCACACTTTGATATAGCAGCAGCCAGACAACAACAAAGGAACAAGAAGATTCAGAACACTATCACACACTACATCATGTGCTCCAACTTCAAGTCACACCACCACCTGCTGATCGACTCAGGAGCGTCTACACACGTTTGCCCGAAGGACTACGCACCAGACCTACCGCTACGACCTTGTGGAGAATCGGTTCCACAACTCTACACGGTTACCAACAAGAAGATTCCTGTCTACGGCATCAAGTACGTTCCCTACAAGCAGGACAACTTCAGGATCATGATACCCTACTATGTTTGTGATGTGAAGTACCCAATCCTCAGTGCATCAAGACTACTTGATAGAGGATATGGACTTGACTTCACTCCACGACACTGCACCATCACACATGGACAACAACAAGCACACCTCATCAGACACTCAGGACTTTTCTACCTACGAGCAGAGAAGATCGACATCCCTACAGGATTCGACATCTACCCAATGACTACAGACAGTGGAAAATCCATTGCTGTGATTCAACCTACAGAGAGAGCAGCACAACAACAAGAACAAATCGCACCACTCACACACACAGACCAAGGACTACGACAGATCCTTGGTGGAAACACTGACTACTGGAAACTTGATGGTGACTACGCCATCAGAGTACACAAACGACCACGCAAAGCACTATTCACACCACACAACAGTGGTTGCCCAATACCTGAAGAAGAACTAGATGATTGGCGACTAACCATCATCAACAGACAAGGGCAAGAGCAAGAACAACTACAAGAGAACCCAACACAACTTTCCAAGCAAGAACTACAACGAAGACTAGAAGGTGACAACTGGACTGGAGAAACCAGATTCAGAAGAAAGATAACACCTACACGCAGAGCAACATCAAAGACAACACCAACAAGGCAGAGCTCACAACCACAACGGCTAATGGACACACCACCAACCAGATCAAAGATCCAACTACGAGCACCACAAAAGATATGGAGACCTAAAGCAGCACCTTCTACAAATCTTGACACCACACAACCAAAGGAGACAATCCACAGACCACTCACAGCACAGGAGGACAACCAAGACTACTGGGAAAGACAAGGTGAACACTGGATAAGACACCACACATCACTTAGAACAACTCTATTCACTCCAACAGATGGACCAGGACATCCACCAATCAGCACACTCGAACCTCACAGAACTACAAGCACTCACAACAACTTTGGAGAAGTTTCCCAACGCAAAGATGACTGGACAGTCATGGGCAACGCAGCACTACCATTTCAATGGAAAGGAACAACAAGGTTCAGCGTGAAGAAAGACTACGAGTACATCCAGGAGAACCACGATGAGGAACAACAACACGAGCATCATGAAGCACACACAGCAATAGGACTACGACAACCTCAGCAGCCCACTCCACAACAAATAGCAGAACACAACTTGACACACCTACCATACAGAAATTGGTGTCCAATTTGCGTTCAAGGCAAAGGACGCCAGGACAACTACAAGAAACAACAATCACGACAACCCATCATCCAAGTGGATTTTGCCTACATCAAATCACAACAAGATCCGAAGACCATACCAGTCTTAACGGCAGTTGATGTTACTACACAACTGTGCATGGCGGTATTGGTTCCGGACAAACCATCAATGATGGACTACATGATCAACAACCTACAAGCATTCATCTTTGAATGCGGAAGAACACACGGCATACTACAAAGCGACAACGAAGACACACTCAATGCACTACTACAAGCAACAGCATCTAAAGTCGGCTCAATGACTGTACGACATTCACCATCCTACAGCAGCAACAGTCAAGGAAGCGTTGAGCGACTACATAGAACACTTCTCGGACAAATCCGCGTCGTCAAAGCTCAGGTTGAAAGCAACTACAGCATGACGATGTCCACAAAGCACTGTCTACTACCCTGGATAGTACGACACGCAGCATGGACGGTAAATCGCTACGTCATTCACTCAGACGGCTACACAAGCTTCGAACGCCGCTGGGGAAGAAACTACGAGCGAGCAATCTGCGAATTTGGCGAGACACTACTCTACCTTCCACCACAACACAAGAAACTCCCAAAAGCAGACCTACGGATGCAGAAATGCATCTGGCTCGGAAAAGTTTCCGAAACCGGAGAAAACTACGTCGCAACGGAATCAGGCGTACAAAAGGTACGAACAGTGCGGAGACTACAACCGGACTTCAAATACGACCTCGCACTATTGAACAAAGTTTCCGGCACACCGTGGGCACCACGACGGAACACCTACAACCCATCGTTCGCAACACTGTTGGATGCGCAACTACCACCGTCAGAGAAAAGAAGGTCCACGCAAGATTTCGGACAACAAACGAACGCTACGGACGACATCGTTGCGGAACCCGCAACAAAACAACAACGCACCACACCACCTCCACGACTTCCGTCAACATCGACGTCAAGTTCACGACCACTACCGGATAGTCCGATGGCTACTTCACCAACCGGACGACAACATCCACCACTCCCAGCACCACCTCGACAAACACTACGACGTTTAACTCCGGAAGAAGTAATGCAACCCACTAAAGCACAGAAGACCTCAAAGGACACTACAATCAGATCAACGGAGCAAGCAACCAAAGAACCACCACCACTACGACAGAAAATTAACGCAGTGACACTTCCCAACGGCAAATTCATCACACCCTACACAAACGACGACACCTCAGAAGACCAACCCATAATCTTCGACAACGAAGGTTACGACGAAACACAACTACTGGAAGGAATGAAACACGAGTCAAATCAAATGAAGCTACATGACGTCTACGACGAAGTAGATGCGTCTACCGTCGACGACAACGTCATAAGAGAAGCGATACCTACTAGATGGGTACACAGGAAGAAAGGACCAGGAGTGCGAAGTCGAATCGTCGCAAAAGGCTACACAGAGAAGATCGAGGACGAAGACTCCGTCTACGCCTCTACACCAATGTTCACGACACTCCGGACACTTCTCGCACTACAAATGTCACGACCAAACTGGATCGCGCGACTAGGCGACGTCTCTACAGCATTTCTACACGCACCCATCGCAAAAGACCACGACGGTAAACAACGTGACGTCTACCTTTGGCCACCTAAAGAACTTTGTCCACAACAGGACAAAATCTGGCGACTAAAGAAAGCCATGTATGGACTACGCAGTTCACCAAAAGCATGGCAGGACTACCTGGCTGAAGTGTTACAAAAGCTCAGCTTTGTAAGACTAAAGTCAGAACCTAACGTCTACACCAATGCAACTCGCGACTGCTACATCATGGTCTACGTGGATGATCTCTTGGTACTTGGTGACAAGACTACTGTCGACTCCACCTTCGAGGCCATCCAGAAGCAGGTCCTACTCAAGCACATCGGCTACCTCGAACCTGGCAAACCACAACAATTTCTTGGAAGAAACATCGACCACTTTGGCAACTACTGCAACCTGGGACTAAAGGACTCCTACATCGACAACATGATCGAGGAGTCTGGAATGAACAACTGCAACCCAGTGAACACTCCAGGAATTGCACACTACAAACCGACAATAGAAGATGAAGCACTACTTGACCACGAACAACACAAAAGGTACAGAAGGATTGTTGGCAAACTACAATGGTTAGCATACACACGACCAGACATCGCATACTCCACAAAAGAACTAGCACGAGACCTCACAGCACCTACAGAACTCTCACAAAAGAGAGTCAAACATCTACTACGCTACTTGAACGGCACCAAGCACTACAAATTCACCATAGAACCAACAACAACACTCAGAGCAAACACTAACAACATCCTGGATCTCGACGTTCATGTCGATGCCGACTGGGCAGGATGCCCTACTACCAGGAAATCAACTTCAGGTTTCAACATCATCTTTTTAGGAACAACAGTTGCATTTGGCAGCAGAACACAAGCTACAATAGCACTCAGCTCAGCAGAGTCTGAACTCTACGCCATTTGCACAGGAGTTAATGAGGGACTACACCTCAGAAACTTCCTACTTGAAACCAACATTTGCAGCAAGCTAAATCTACGCATCCACACAGACTCCACAGCAGGCAAGAGCATTGCTACACGACAAGGCACTAGCAAACGAGCAAAACACATCGACCTTAAATTTCTCTACACACAAGACCTCATCAAGCACGACATCATCAGAATCCTCAAAATCAACACACTACACAACAGCTCAGACTTGTTCACAAAATACATTAGCAAAGAAACACTACAGAGGCTCATACAGAGCATTGGCATACGTGTTTAGCACTACGAACAACAACTGTTTCACAACTGTTGCACATCAATCACAACAGTTTGTATATGGCCATATGTAACTACCTACATTTAAGTAACAGTAACAATGACTACAAGTAATAGTAATTGTAACCACCAGTAATTTGCACTTGCACTTTTGGCGGCTTTTGGCGGCTTGAGTCAACACTACATGTTGTTTTGTGTTTTTCTACATGCCCGCATGTGCTTTTGTGAGCGAACATTGGCTCACTACTGTCTGCCCCGTTTCACTGCATCTCGATAGGCCAAACTACCAGCAATGGCTGGAACTACGCCCATGGATGCGACTACGCTGGATGTCATGCCGATGGAGGTTACTACATCAGCGCCAGAGACTACTCTGCCCGTCGAACAACAGGCTGGCAGTACTACACCGGACCGTGTTTTCACACCACCGGATCGGCAGGGCACTACCGACTCCGGCAGCATGGCTACTTTGGCCACTCCACCACCTGAGGCCTACAACTCCCTCAACTACAACTTCAATCACCAACTACCCACACCGGCACCTTTCTACAGACCCGACGACATCTTGGCACACCTCACTACAACTGAGAACAACATCCCCGACACTCCAGCGATCGACCCGGAACAGAACTACTTCAGGGTCTACGCGGCTTTGACGCTCGAGGAGTTCCAACTACTAAGTCAACAACAAACTACACCCATCCCCGAGCTCAACTACAGCCTACCAGTTCACGACCTACCTTCAGACCTACGGATGCCACACTACGACTCACTACCTCTTCACCTACGTCTTTCAGAGGCAATCAACTTCTACTACGACAACCTTACATCACTACACCTCACAACCCAGTACACCAACTCGATGGTCATTATCCAACTACACATTCCACCAGAAGTTCTACTACGATTTGTCAGCGCTGGACAACTCGTCAACTTCTGCCGCGACTGCGTGAGCCACATGATTTCCATCAAAGATGAGCACCACCTACCTACACGCCAGCTACATCAACGACTACACCGAATCACCTACAACTTGGACCAGATCACCACTACATTCAACCTGTCCATCAACTTCATTTGGAACTATCACATGCCCCTGTACCTACCAGAACTACTCAACTACTTCGACCAACCACAACAACTTCAAGACCACCACTACAAGTCCATCAACACGATGCTACACAAAAGTGTCACCTACTACGGCATCACCCTCCTCACGGCTACAAATCTTTCCATGCAACACAAACTACTACTCCACAACTACCTCACTACCACCGGCCAAGCACTTGCACCACCGGAATGCGACTACAACCGCCTTCGTGGCGGTCCAGACTTCCTCAACACATTCACTACCAACCACTATGCAGGCTTGGACTACCGCATCAGCCAAGTCCAGAACTACCGAGTCCAACACTGGACTAAGCACACCTGATCTCCAGGTGGAGCTGCAACTACGTGCTCGTACTACGAGATGACTGAGAACCAACTAGGGTTCTTGTACGGCAATTTCACTTTTCTGATCATTTGAAGGTTAGTTGAACTACAGACAGCAGCGCTGTAGATACCTACCTTCGGTCATCTTTTTTAAGAGACTACATGCCTGTTCGCTACAGTAGCATCGGCAAACAACATGTGCATTCGTTTTTGCCACCACTGTCAATACCACCTTTTGGGTCTATGGTTAAAGGACACTACAAGGTCTTTTAACCAAAGGGCCGTGTCAAATATCATGTTGCACTACTTGTCACTTGTGCATGCATGATGTACACTACCCGACTGCAGGCCTTGAGTCTACTAGGAAAAGAGTGCATGCTGGCTGACTACATTTGTGTTTGTGATAACTGAACAACACTTGCACTAGAAGTAAAGTATCAACGTATTTTAACGAGAGTGAGAGAGAGAGAGAGATACAGAGGGCCAAAAACCATCCGCTGGTTTCCGTTTTCTTCCTCCCGCACGTCCCTCCCGCCTGCAGGGCGCGCTGGTCTTCGGTGACGAAGCGCAGAAGCTGCGGCAGGAGCTTCTTCGTCAGCTGCTCCTGGCGACCGTCTGATGGCTGTGGATGGTTTCTTCGGTGGCAGTCTGACCTGAGGTCTTTGGCCCATGTGCTAGGTGGAGGACCATACTGTGGGTGGTATGGGTGATGGCTACCAATATATTTTGGGCGCTCCTTCAAAGGGAAGCCAAAGGTTGAAACAACATTGACTAATGTTCCACCCCAGTTGCCCAGTGCCCTTTTCCATTGTTTGGAAGGGTTTCCCTAAGTCAACTGGATGGCGAAATCCAGTTCGCACCTAAGAAACCCAAGTTGGAATGATTCGATTCAACGTAAATACTAACCAATGGTTTCAACCATGGTTTCAAGGTGGTGCGAAATGGATTCCGTCACAGTATGACAGGTTGCTTCCGGCATCCGCTTGTCTATCGGTCGATCCAGTGATTTCCCAAGCACGTACCACAGATACCCGTTGTCTCTACTGCCCTGGGTTGTCCGTTCATTCCGCAATTTGCCTCAACCGGGGAGAGCAGCCGATTCTCACGACTTCTTTGCCGATATTTGAGTGATTGACGCAAGCACTTTAGCCATTTTCTTTGCTGATGGAGCACAAACCGCACAGCCTTTGACCCACACACACACTCAGCCCGGCCTGCTCCGACTCGGCATTTTTTTGCCTGAGGCAAGGGCCAGGGCAAGCACATGAGCCTTTTGGCATTGGCACTTCAAGGCTTTCATGCAACCACCTCTGTTGATGTGGGGCTCAGAGTGGAGCTGTGACCACCATACGAAGCCATATACACACCAAATATTGGAAGTGCGGCAAGGTTGTGGCCAATTGAACCTAAGATAGCTGCCCAGGTACCAGGAAAGCCCTGGGCGCGATGTTTTCCGCACTCTAGGCAAAAATGTTCCCTGAAGAGCTCACGTTCCCTTGAGGTGTGCCCGTCCAAAGCAAATCCAAGGCTTTTCCGGCTCCTGCCTGCGCCGGTCACCTGCCAGCTGCTACACAGAAGCTGTGGGTCATGCAGGGGTTGATCAATTGTCCTGGCCCCAAATGACCATGCGCAACCTTTCCCATTTTGTGGCAAATTTCATCGTCTTGCTTCAAAAAGCCAAGGGCCATCCATCCCATGAAAAGAGGCTTTTGATGAAACCGGGGGATGGAGGCGCTTTCGTCCGCCTTCGTTTGCCTTCTCACACGCGCCATTTGCCCGCGCCTCCATCCTCGCTGGCGCTGTCGCCTTGGGAGCGGGGCAATGGGGCAAGGGCGATGGGGGAGGCAAGGTCTTTACGCAGGATTACAAGCTTGTCCCAAATGAGTCACAATCAAAACCTGATACAAACCCAGAGCCATGTACAGAATTAGAAAGGCGGCCGCAACTATTTCCGGCTGGGACTGCCCCTTACTAACCTTCATCTACCCGGGCTTTGATTGTGGCTCAACGGTTGCCCACAACGCTGCCAGGAACAGGATCACAATGCCATGTATCTGGAGTGGGAGTGGGAGGTGCAATGTTCAACTGCCCATACAGGAAACGTCATCGTCAAACGACACGTTTTTGCACACCACTTCAGCGCAAACACTGCTACGTGCCCGCATCTGTGTGTGTGCATATATATATACATATATATATATATACCTATGGTAGGCGTGTGTGTGTGTGTACACATATGCATGATATATATATATATGTATAGATCATGCATACAGGTATATAAAGGTCGGAGTATCCACATCTACATACTATAAACGTTGCACTCACTGCCCGCATTGCTTGCTGAAACAAGAACTACTCCAGCCGGCAGCTGGAGCTCTGGAGCTTGCGTTTGCATCCATGCCAGCCAGTCCCGGGGTCTTCTCAAAGGCGTTTGTCACTGGATCAAGAGCCACATTTCAAGCGTTCCAACAGCCATCTCAGCGAGCAGGGCCAAGCTTTATCTGTGAGATTCGAGTAAATTGGCAGACATTCCTGTGAGACTTAAACAAAAACATGCATAGGTGTGTTTTCATATGTGCATGTAGAGCCTCAGTCCGGAAGGGAAAGTGAATAAGAAATCCAAACTCCCTAAACTTCCTTTAGCCCGTGTTTCGTCTGTCCTTTGGATGGTATTGCAAGGAACGCTGCGTAAAAATTGTTTGCTCAAAGCACTACAATTCCTGACTATGCGCCAATCTCAAAGGGTTGGGTTACAGGAAATTCTACCGGAAAACAGCTTTTTTGGGGTGCTTGGGGGTCATGTTCTGTAGATTCTCCTGTAAGCTAAACCTTTGAACATCACATTGCTCTGGCATTGTCGTGTCCTCGGTAAAGCGCTTGCCAAGTCAACTGGTGACTAGTGGCTCCGCGAAGCTTTCAAGCCCTTGCCAATGATTGGGGCCCCGCACCGCCCGGCGGCTCGGGCCTGTGTTGCCATTGTGAGTTGGCAAAATCTGGGCATTTTGGGGCAGGTGCACCACCCATTCTAGAACCTATTTTAGTAGGGATTGGGATGTTCACTGGGGGTACGGGGTTTTGACCCATAGCCATATGCCGCCCTTTGCTTGAAAGAACAAATGGAAACTTCCCAGTTTCATCTGCCCGTCATTCTGATGGTCAACAGGACTTGAAACATTTTGTGCACACAGTGCCGAACGAACAAGATAGAGTGATTCCTGCAATGAGGGATCCCACCAGTGGCTTGCCCTGAAAAAGCCATCCCAAAGTGGGGCTTGCAACTTTAGGACCTAAATAACAGGGTTTCATTCTCACACCAGAGGCCTAAAGGCCTAAAGGTCAAGGGTTGTGCATTTGCCACAGGAAACACCTCGATTGAAGTCTATCTTGTAACTTGTAACCGTGCACCTAGCAAACATCAGCACGGATCCGCCTTTTTCAGAGCGTGGGAAGCCACGACCGACCATCCAGGAGTCTTTGCATTACACCCTGAGATTGCACCGGCTGGGAAGTGTCTGAAGTGTCCATTCTGTGCTACTTCCAAATAAAAACTCGTGACGTTGAGCCATTTTCAGCCCATGAGTCATGCTGCACCCCCCTGTAATACAAAAACCAGTCAGAAACAAAAGCCAGAGGGAGACGTGTGGATGATTTGGCTACGAGTGTTGAATGACAAATGAGGCTGCAAAACCTGCAAGCCAGTCGCTCGCAAAGATCCTTACCTGGTAGCCCATGCTCACACTTTTGCATGTCCTGAGTTCCTTGCGTCGCAAAGGCGCAAACAGGTCCAAAAACCAAATTGACACAAACCAACTCGGATACACTCGCCAAGCAGCTGCAGTTCGTCCCAAAAAAAACACCTCCGCATTTTCAGCCGGGCCCCAATAATTTAAGCCAGGCTACAGGCCACCCTCTGGAACGTACTCTTCCAGAAAGCCCCGGGCCTTGGTCCACTCAAAGCTTCGCTGAAGATTGCTTTGTGATTCCTCTCGCCTTGCCACTTTGTCGTGTCCTTTCTACCTGTTGGTTGCTCCAGTATCAATCTGGCTGTGGAGTTTAAGTGTGTGTGTGTGTGTGCGTGTCTTCGCTGCAGAAGCCCTGGCACAAGAGACATGAAAACGTCACAATAAGCAATAAAAAAAAAGACAAAACAAGCAAGCAAGCAAGCAAGCAAGCAAGCAAGCAAGCAAGCAAGCAAGCAAGCAAGCAAGCCAGCCCAACAAGACAAACAAGCAAAAAACAAGCCCGACAAAACAAATAAACAAGAAACAAGCCCAACAAAATAAATCAACACAAAACAAGCCCAACCAACCAAACAGGCAAAAAACAAGGCCACCAAAACCAGCAGAAAGCAGGCCAACAAAACAAACAAACAAACAAACAAACAAACAAACAAACAAACAAACAAAGACAAGCCCAGCACAACAAAGAAGAAAAATGCAAGGCCAACAAAACAAACAAACAAAGACAAGCCCAAAACAAGGAAAAAGCAAGACCAACAAAACAAATCAACACAAAACAAGCCCAACAAAATCAACACCCACACACACACACACAAATAAGGCCACCAAAATCAACACACGAAATCAAGCCCAACAAAACAAACAAACAAAAACAAGCCCAACAAAACAAATCAACGCAAAACAAGCCCAACCAAATCAACACACACAAACAAGGCCAAAACAATCAACAGAAAGCAGGCCAACAAAACAAACAAACAAACAAACAAACAAAGACAAGCCCAGCACAGCAAAGAAGAAAAATGCAAGGCCAGCAAAACAAACAAACAAACAAAAAAGCTCAACGAAACAAACAAACACAACCAAGCCCAACAAAACAAACAAACAAAAACAAGCCCAACAAAATCAACACACACAAACAAGGCCAACAAAATCAACACACAAAATCAAGCCCAACAAAACAAACAAACAAAATCACGCCCAACAAAACAAACAAACAAACACACGCCCAACAAAACAAACAAACAAACAAACACACGCCCAACAAAACAAACAAACAAAAACAAGCTCGACTAAATCAACAAACAAAAACAAGCCCAACAAAACAAATCAACACAAAACAAGCCCAACAAAATCAACACACGCACACACAAACAAGGCCAACAACAAAATCAACAACCAAAAACAAGCCCAACCAAACAAGCAAAGAACAAAACACAAAAGTACAAACCAAGCAGGCGAAAAGACCACAAGACAAACCAGCAAAAAGCCCCCAGGCTCCGAGATCTCGGCCAGGCCGTACGCCTCCTTGAAGTCCTCGTTGGCCTGAGCTGGTGGCTCCTCCCCCGGCTGGATCCATCGCATCCATGTCAATTTGAACGAAAGCCGCTGGGGGTCTGACTGGTACTCACAAGAATGTCATGTGCCGAGCTGGCCGAAGTCATCGGAATCAACCAGGGGGTCTCCACAAAACAACAGAGGCTAGTTTGAAACATTTGGCTGTGGGTCGAAACCGTTTTGGGATCCCATTTTGGTTGGTAGGTGAATTCACCCCCTCATTTTAGAACCGATTTTAGTGGTTGGATTGGGATGTTCACGCGGGGTACGATTTGGATTTTGACCCATGGCCATTTGAGGCCCAAACAAGGTGTGCATCTGGGATCATCCCCAGTAATCTCCGAATGTCTTGGACATTAGTCCTTTGAGTCATCATGAAAACCCGGTATTAAAATGGTCGTAATCCCAGAACCATGGAAAGAATTAAGAAGGCGGACACCCGCAGCTATGTGGTTGGGAGCATCCCTTGCTTACCTTCATCTACTCGGATTTTTATTGTGGCTCATTTGGTCTTCCAACTGCGAAAGGGACATAGAACTAGAACTGTGAAAGGAACTGGGGTCGACATCTCAAAGGCGCCCAAATGGAGCAGGCCACGCACGCCGTTTTGCTTCTCTCAAAATTGGTCCAGCAACCGTAGGCAAAGCAAGGCTCCGTGCACAGAAATGAGCAACAATATCATGTGCTGGTCCATAATATAGGTAAAGTGAATGGGTGTTTTCCTTCGTGAGCAAATCAAAAAATGGTTTGCCCCTCTAATGAGCAACAAACTACCAGTCATATTGTCAGGGGTTCCAATTCACAGCAGCCCAGCGAGAAGGTTTGATCTTTCTCTACATCACGGCATGGCGCTCCAGCACACTCGTTTTCTGTTTCAGCCATGGCTTTGTTCCGACGTAGCGGGAGAACTGAGTGACGATGTCATGAAGACAAGAGACGCCAACATCATCGAGCAAAGCTGAGCTGCCTAGACTCAACGTTGCAACCTCGGATAGGAATCAGCCTGCCGGTTCTCCCAACTTTAAAATATGTTACATCACCACAGCCAGCGAAAATTCGATCGCTTGCTTGATCTCGCATGCAGGTAGTGTCTGTCTCTACTGGCCTTCAGCCACGCTCCCTGCGTAAAGGAGCATTACTGTAGGCGAACCCTCCGGGCAGTGACAAAACCTGCACTGGCGGCGCGTGCAGCACCCGCTTTCGCGGTGCCGGCACGGTGCCTGCTGGCACAAGAAGCACCAGCGCGTCGGCTGCCATGTCACAGGAACCAGCCGACACATCAGAACGTGGCTCGCAAAACTCGGTGCTGCCTCAGTTTCATACAACGAGTGCCCCTTTCATGCCTTCAAGAGTTTGCTAGGAAGGAGGCAAATCGCACCCTCGTCTGGATGATGTTTGAGTGCAGGATATGATCGAAGGGATCACCAGGTGAAATACAAAAACATACAAGCAACTTTGTTTGACTACTTTGGCCAGGATTGGTCGTAGCTGTACCGCTCTTGAAATCTCACAACATCCGTTTTCAACATTTCGGGATTTCCAGAACCCGAGGAGTTCTCCCGCTTGGGCACGACGGCACTCAAGCAAGTTTTACCCGACTCGACTAAGCTGTTGAGCTAAGACCCAAGCTGATTTGGCAGCTCTCTTCCTGCTTAACACTTCATGAGATACGGGGTCATACATCTGCACTGGTTCCTATGATTCATCAACCAAACATAAAGAGTCAAGTAAGGAAGTGCGCTACAGTAGTCCTTGTACTTGCTTCACGCGTGTCCGATCATTTCATCAATCTGGCCCCTTGAGTCTTGTTGCATCAATACGACACAATGTCCAGGATGGGTGGGTCTTTGGAGTCGTCAAACAGTTTGCCGGTTCGGGCGAAAACAACAGGGTCCAAAAAGTACACCAGAGCAACAGAGCAACCAAGATGGAAATGTGCTGAACATGGCTCGGGCTTCGCAACAAAGTAGCTTCGTTATTGCGAGTACAAAATTCTGCAGAGCTTCACATTCCAGGGGCTTCGAAGGTCTTTGGAATCCCCAAGTCTGTGCCTCTATTGGTGTCGTCCAAAGGGTGTTCCCGCAACCTATGCTCGACCGGAGTTGACTCGGTTTTTGCCATGGGCACCAAAAAAAATACCAACAAAATGGGCAGTCACGCGGCAGCCGGCTGCACCAGGCTTGCTTTCTCCTTCTGCTCCTTCTCCTCCTTCTCCTTACTTGCCCGGCCATGGGCAACCAGCTAAACCTCTCACCCTAGGGAAATCCCGCAAAAGGAAACTCAAGACCCTGTGCAACCAGGGTTCTGTACAGAGCGCCCGCTCGCCTTTGATGCGCCGGCGTTCTTTGTAGCCCTTCCGCTTCCGTTTGCCCTGGGCTGGACATATGTGGGAACATGGCAAAACCCTTCTTAGGCCAAGGGATGTTGGGAGAGTTTCATGCAACCCTCCACAGGGGAAATGGGGATCCGGCACCTTGGTTGAATAGCCACTGCGGGGAGTGACGCCCGCAAAGGTTCGCCGAGCAAAGCCGCCCCTTTGAAGAGATGGCCACCCTCAGTGTGGAAATCACCCTCAGTGGGATGGCCATCCCCTGATGGCTTTCCAAGCTGGCCGAAGGAACTCAAAGGGTCAACTCCGTGGTTCATTGGCATGCTGAAGGCACGATCTGGCCAGACAAAATGCAGAGTCCCATAGTGATTCGCGGAATCAAACCCGAAACTACTCTTTGGGACGGCCAGGTCAACAGCGGGGAAAAACGCTGTCTTCCTAACAAGGATGGCTTGCGTGTTTGAGTATTTGGTTTGCAAAGGAAGCCCGCAAATCAAACGAAATCAAGAGATCCAATTACCCTCATTGGTCTCCGGTCATTCCCTGGGACCCTTTCACCTCCAACAGACTCCAACAGAACGTGCAGGCACACGGCCTCAGCCAGCTTTGCTAGCTGGATTGGCTTCTCCTCCTTCTCCTTCTCCTTCTCCTTTTCCTGCTCCTTTTCTTCCTTCTCCTCCTTCCCCTCCTCTTCCTCACTTGCTCACTTGCTCACGGACCATTTGGAAAAATTGACACCCCATCTTTTGGGTGATTGCATTGAAAGCAAAACCAACCCAAACCAAAAACCGCCCTCCTGCAAGATGTCGCCACCTAGCTCGGCCAGTGTGATGTCTGCCCAACTCGTGGCCGGCATTTTCGCCCGGCTTGCAAGCGCCATTTTTCCGAGGCAGCCACAAAGTCCACCCTGGAGGCAACTTGAGCCTAAATCCCGGCCAGCGCTCTCTCCTTTCTGACGGCAACTGGCTAACTAGTCCGCGTCAAAACTTGCAAAGGTGCTGTTTGTTTTTGGGCACAACTGTACAACCCTGCCTAATGTAGGTAGCAATCCAAAGGTGAAAGACCTGATCATGAACCAAGGTTGTGGCATAACTGGCTGCACTACGTGTGTGTGTGTGTGTGTGAAACCAAGAGATGTCTCGCAACCGTCGCAACGAATCATGGAAACCCCCCTACCCTCTGCCCTTCTGGGTGTGTGGAGGCGCGCACTCGTGCTTGGAGAAGGAAAGCAAGAGCAGTTTTCAGCACCGGTTCTATATATGGTGCACAAGTGGACAGACTGTGCATTCACGAAAATCCGCTGCCAGCTGGGATACACAAAGCCCTGTAAATACTGAACCACCTATCAATTGGTGTTGGAGTTTGTCCATTCACACTATGCTCTTCCCCCCCCCCCCGATTGCTTCTTGACTGCTATTGCATGGTGCTAAGACGACGACCTTGGAATAGAGTCTGTTCCCCTCTATCACCGCTCTTGTGCGGCTCTGTGGTTGGTTTTTGCCCTTTCACTTTAGGCTAAACACGTGCCCAAACCCTTTCCCCCCCCCCCCACCTCCCCCCCCCACCCCACCTCCCCCTCCCCCACCTCCCCCTCCCCCACCCCCCCTTCCCCCCCCCACCCGCCCTTCCCGACACCCCAGCTGAACCCCACCGCGCGTGCCTGGCGGTTTCGCTTCTCCTGCTGGAAGAGCTTCTGCGACTCCCGCCGCGCGAAGGACTGGCGAGTGCGGCCGATGAGAAGAAGCGGTACATAAAGCTTGCAAAACATAAAATCGGGGGCCGTGCTACTATGATGCTTGCCAACATCTTGGCAACATCTTGCCAACATCTTGGCAACATCTTTGCAACATCTTTGGCAACATCTTGGCAACATCTTGGCAAGTTGGAAGGGAAACTTGCTATGCTTCGCAAACCAACTAACTCGGTTTGCCCGAAGGTGAGCTTGCTACAATCGAGCCACGGAAATGGATGTTGTCTCCCAGCGCATAAGGTGTGTGAGGGTCGCACTGCTCTCTCACACGGGTTCGCACAGGGCCAAAGGTGGATGAGTGTCCAATGGCCGGCGTTGTGGTTCGGACCCCGACAAGCTCATCGACTCCGATCCTCATCAACTTGCGTGGCCAACCATTGTTATTTACGCGAGCGTTGGCCTAACTATACTGATCTCAACATGTTGGCATGCTCGGCAACAAAAAGTGCCAAGGCTACTAGAGCCAGGAAAGCTGTTAGAAGCAAACAATAGGGGCTCCGCATCTTTCCCAGTTCGCTTGTGCAACGCACTCGAGCCTAGCCGTAGCCAGTATTCAGCCAGAAACATGGAACTCAAACAAATGTCTACCTGGATGTCGCCAAAACGCCGACCCAGGCGCCGCCATGTGCTGACATTGGCAGTTTCGTGTTTCCATTTTCGAACAGCCCGACAAAGCGCGCCAGGCGCCGCATCAACCTGGCAAGCGTCGGGTGCACGATTGGAAGCGTGAAGTTTGCAACCTCGTAGGGACCCACTAACTCCTGATTTACGGAGCAATCCGAAGAAACACAGCAACGGTTGGTGTTCTTCAGGCTTGTTTCTTGCAAAAGCCCTCAAGTAAAAACGGGATCCCAGTGTGTTTCATACATTCCCGCATCAGCCGTCAAGCAATCAAGGATTGGGAGAAAGGAAGGACAATCTCTGCTTGCTCATCAAATGGCGGGTGTCTGGGTGCGAAGCTTGTCCCGCACAAAGAAAGCACATGATCCCTCTACCCGGAATGTGTGGATGGGCCATGAGAGGATCCCTGGCGTGACTTTACCCACATCTTTGTGCACCAAGTGAAAAGGGGCTGCCTTGAAAGACAGCCATACAATTGAATGAGGACCGGGTGCGGGTGCTGCAAGCTTCGCTGAGTGAGCAAGGGCTTCCTCTCATGGCCACTGGAAGACACCTTGACCAAGTGACGAGCAAACCGCTGAAAGCAGCCCACTCGCAGGTTATCCTCTGTCAATTTTGGAAGTGGACAGAAAGCTTCACATCCAAAAGCAAAGCCATCTTGCCACACACTTTCTTCCAGCTTCTCTCTCTGCCCACGGTCCCTTTGGCCCCGCCCTTTGGGCGTCGGGAGCCGCCTCTTCGTGAAGTTTCTGGAAGAGGGCACCCAGACTCGCCAGGTCCATGAGCGAGTCCACGGATGCAAAACTACCCACCTGTCTTCAAACCCCGCAAGACTCGCAGACCGATGGAAGGTCCCTCCATCCCAATGGAACATGCTCCTCACCCCCATGCAGAGAAAAAGAAAGGGCGGCAGCAGAGCAAATCACTCCTCCAAGGCCCCGGCTACTGGCCCTGCGGGCTCCTGCACACCCCGACTCCATGAATGTGACCCGACAATGAGCTCAGTTGAGGCTCCTGCAAAAGAGACCTCATGGCAACCTGCATAAGGTCCATGGGAGTCTCTCCAAATCGGGTTTAGGTCGACGCTCAAGCCCTGCGGGGCGCACATTAATGGGTCCGAGGCAAAAAGGTTGCTAGCAGGCAGCTCTGGCAATCGACGCTTTTTTAGATGTGTTCTTTGGCTTCCCTTCAAACACCTGCAACCCATATGCTCCATAGATGTTCAGACCCATTCGGAAGGGGTTATGCCATGGTCACACGGGCTTGCAAATCACCCCCAAGAGCTCAGGTTCGCATTGGCAGATAAAAAAGAAAAAAATGAGTTCCTTGAACCTTCTAAGTCGCCTCATCTCTGAAGTTCCAGCTCGTTCAAGGCACCATGCACGCAAAGGCTTTCCCTAGAAGCACAATGTGTGGTTGAACCGTGCTTTCCAATGCCCAAATGCTCGCACTTTTGCCCACAGCAAGCCGCAAGAAAGCCGTGCCAGGTTCCCCAGAGCACCCACTGCCCCTCCGAAACTGCCCCCAACGTCCATGGCGAGGCGCGCCCCGAAACCCCGAAACCCCAGCTGGCCTCCTTGCGGCTCCTGCCCTTTCGGATGGAGAGCTCGGGACAGATTTCCCCAAACCGTTCGACGCTCGGCGAGTTTGGATGTCATGGAATCCTTAGGGACCGATGTCCGTTCAGGTTCGGTGCTAATTGGCGGGAGGGTATGAATCTCTTTCCAAAAAAAGAGAAACTACCATGTCCCTGCCGAACTCCTGATAGCCCCTTCGCTCCATCTTTCTAAAGCCAAATTTGGATAGCCCCAACTGCTTGGCTCCCTTCCAACCACCAGCTAGGAAATGTCCTAGGCTTCAAGAACAAGCCACTCAGCGCCAATCAATGCGTGGAGGGAGCAATTGGCCCAAGTGCGGAGGACTCTTTGGCAGCTGCGCGGCTGATATAAACGCGGTTGACGCGCGAGTCAGGAACTGATGAAAGCAACCAACCAGGAAAACGACCGCTGATAAAGTGGAAAGGAACCGTTGTACCCATGATATTGCTTGGGGTGGGCGAGAAATGGCACTTCCAGCTACGTTGCTTCCAAGTGAACATGAATTATGGAATGATCATGAATTATGGAGTGAAGAGATCGTGATATGTGCATCTATCTCTCACAAGGGCTTCGACTCTTGCATCTTGAGAGCTCCGGTTGGTTTAGTGTTGGCTTAGGGTTTAGGGTCGGTTTAGGGTTGGTTTAGGATGCGTCTAGGGTTGGTTCAGGGTCCATCCAGAAGTGCTGCCTCAACGCAAACCCTTTGGTTGCGATGCCCCGAGCTCCAACAAGGGCAGAGTTCTGCCCAATGGAAACTTGACTTCTCAAGAGCTCGGCGTTCGGAAAAAAATCGCAATCAAATACCCCCATAAAAGCCGATAGAATGGCCCCAGATCTGAGGTGAAGACGGTTTTGTCACATCGGCAAGTGTGTTTAAGAATGTGCTTTGCCATCACTGGGGCTTCACAAAGCAAGCAGCAATCTATACCGCATCGCAAGACGCCCGACGCAGAGGTATTACACACACATAAGCAATTGCGGCTCTTTAAGTCCCCTTGCGACATGCAAAAGTTCGAGCTATCACGGGTGGCAAACACAAGCGCGATGTTCCACAAATTCCCATTCCCGGCTTGGCAAGTTTTGGCAAGCTGCACCGTTGCCAGTGGTATGATGTTACTATGATGTTGCTTTCTGACTATCAAGAGCAATTTTTGGGGAACACAAACAAGAAAGGTTACCCTTGGTCATTTGTGGGCCAGGAATATTCATCAACCCCCATACACCAGCAACACCATCACGGCCGCATGTTGACCTGAGGCTGTCGACTCCCGGCCTGGGAGCGACGCGGCGAAGAGTCGCTGGCCCGGTCCTGGAGCTCGGCCCGACTGCTTTTTTTGTTTCTCCTGTAAGAACCCAGGATCAATTCAACCCGAGGCGCGTCAGAGGCGCGTCAGAGGCGCGAAAAAAGGCGCGTCAGAGGTGCGTCAGAGGTCCACTTTCATGTTTTGGGAGGTGGAGGTTCTACGCAAGGTGCCCATCAAAGTCATTGAAACCACCATTTGGGGGGGATGGTTTTCGATCCGGCTGAGGACCGATAACTTGGAGTCGACTCCCTTGATGTGTTGCTCTACTTGGCTGCAACGCCGTACGCTATGCTGCACTAAGTCATTCTGAGTTATCTTTTGCAAACATTCAAAGCCCTTGTCTGGAACATGCGCGCAGGTTGATGGGTCAGCTATCGACTCCCTGCCGGCAAATGAGCAATGCCGTGCTGTACATCGATTAAATACCCCCAACTTCCAAGTCAGCCTCGTGCTTCCTTGGATGCTCGGGCGGCATGTGTTTTGCTGCCAAACAAATGCTGGCAGAAACAACACTTGCCACAGTTTCGGACTTACAATATCGCTTGCTCCAAAAAACTTTGATGGCGCCAATGTAGGTGTCCTCTGCACAGGCTCCCGTTCGGCAATTGGGCTACCCGATTTCAACGGCAGCAGCTGTGCCAACAAAAGTGATCTCTCTGCAACAAGTGCCGACCACCTAGAAATCCTCCCATGAGCAAGCCATGGTTGCTTTGGGGGATTCGGCATGGCCGCCGAAGGGTTCCCAAGTACAACTCAGTCCCATTGCATTCTCCAGTGGATCATGATGGGTGTTGGCTGATATCCTCCATTTGTGTGTGAGTGTGCTTTGCAAAACGCTTGGTATGGAGGGGTGTGGTTTCAAAAACAAGGAATTGCTGCGAGTCGGTCTCAGCTGAGAAGGCCCGTTAACAAATGCCGATTCCGGCAGCGCATCGCAAAGGAGCCGACAAAAATATGTCCATCCTGAAACGTGGCTCTGCTAGACTGGTTTACCTGGCAGCTTCAAGCAGCACTGCCCACCGAAAAAGGAAAAAGGACGAGGCACGGAGATATTAGGTGGCATCAAATTCCAGCCGTCTGTCAAGCAAAAGGCAAAAGCTTCAGATTCCCTCGCGCTGCTCATGATCCCATTCCAACTCCCAGGTCGGGAACTAGCAAAGCGAATGTGTACCTGAACAAGCTATGGCCATTCCGGTGAATTCACGGACCGGGTGCAAAAATATCCAAGACTGGCCATGAGGGCATAGCCCAAGGGGCATTGCGATCACAGGAGGTTTTTGTTTTCTCAGGCAGCCCTGGAGTCCGCAAGTGGAATCCGCAAGCAAGAAAGTATCAAAAAGCTTGAGCAGCAGGATCAGAACGAATGCAAACATCGATCTTATGGATGGAGAGTTTGATCAGACCCCAGCTTCCACTCCCCCGGTTGTCACCTCGCCTCCATCGGAGGGGGCGGTGGGCCTCAAAAGGCGCCAAGCCCGAAACCGGCACCAAGCATTTCGACATGGCCGAAATGTCCTATATGTGCGTGCCTACGACTGTGTCTCTGCCTTGCGCCTGTGTCTTTCGCTCTCAGTGTCTCTCTCCATGTCTGCGTTTGCATCGCTGTCTCTGAGATTCTAAAGTGCATGCACAACCTTCAGCCTGCGAACATGCACGCCTGTATGAATACGTACGTGCCTGTGCTCGTGCATGTTCAGTTGCACCGCGCGCAGGCGTGCATGCGTACATGCAAGCGGAACTGTAGGTGTGCTTCAATGCAAGCATGCATATACATTGCAAACGTCAGGTTTGAAATCCACAAAAAGGCAGTGAGACTTTGCCTGATTTATGTTGGCACAGGCAGACTTTCCCCGTGGTACCTCAACGAAATCTCTGGTCATGCTTCAGGAACCTCATACAGAATCTTATGATTCCCTTTCATCCTGCCCTGAAGGCTGACTTCGGGCCCCCACCAGCATCCACATCTTCGCTCGGTGGGGTCGCACCAGGGGCTGTTCGCTTCTTCAACTGGCAGTGACAGCGACTCAACACGTGGGTGTGTCTTTGTTGGGGGTGCCCCCCCTTTTTCTGGTTTTACAGGAAAACCAAAAGGAAAACCACCT